GAGAATTAACCTTGCAAAATCGCATGGTCCCCGACTCTTGCGAGTTCCATATCATTCTCAACTATACCCTATATTGATGTGCCGGTTAACCACACGAGCTCCATCAACAGAATATAAAGAGAATGTGCAATTTTCATGGATAATATAAACTCACATTCTATTAATAAAACGGGATTTTGTTTTATACTTGTATTTAAAATACTTTTAGATTGACCATTATCACTATCAAACCCTTTCGGTAACTCCATTCACAAAATGCAATTGGGCGGTGAGGGTGGTAAGCGCGAAGCATATTAAAAACCGACCTCATTAGGAATCAAAGAGACCTCCTTAAACCCCTACATTAGAACGGGTGAGCCTAGTCGATGTAAGACTGACAATGTCAATATTAAACACGCGAGGGCGCATGTTGTAACTTTCTTATACATATAATAGACACAATTCTAATATATATAAATATAAGGGGTAAATTTAAAACTCTTTAAATTTAGTTGTCTATTATTAATTCTAATTAATTGCGAGGACGCAATGTAACAATTAATAAATCAGGAGGGGGTAATATTCAAATTTATAAATCTCTTTTATAAATAATATCAAATATTTAAATTCACTATTTAAATAATAGATAAATATTCAAATTCAAATAAACACATAAAGATTCAAATTCAAATAAACATATTTAAACAATATTTATCCATTAATAAATATTCAAATTCAAATAAAACATTTAAATAATATTTATCAATTTTCAGATTTAAAACATTTTAAAATTTGGTAATTATCCATATTTGATAAAGCTTCATATTTGAAAATGGAAAAAATCCGAAAACCCTAATTCTGCCGAGCTCACGTCGTGAGCTGCGACTAGGGTTTTAACCATTACGAATTTTTCAATAATCCTTCTACCATTCAATTTCAAACAAGGTTTTACAGAAAACATGGATCTAGGGTGAATATAACCATGAACCAATGGCTCTGATACCACTGTTGGGTTTTCTACGCATCAAATACACTCTAAAAGTAGGTAGCGGAAAAATCGAAACAACGATATACCTAAGTGTACATGCAACCTATGGATCTATGGCTTCATGCTAATTACATCAACCCTAGAAAACTAAAACATAAGTAAGAAAACATACCTCTTATGTAGCCCTTGATCTCCATGCTTGAGATCTTGAACCTCCATGAAGTTGCTTGGATGAAAGGATCCAAACCAGAATCCCTCTAATGGTATCACACCCAATGACACCAAAGATTGGAATAAAAATAACTAGGAGAAGGGTCAATTTCACAAACCCAAAGGGGTTAGAAATCGTCCCTAAGAGGGGGAGGAAGAAGGGTTGGCGAAACTTCAAGCCAAGGTGCAAGGAGGAATGAAATCCCTAAGGCCCTATTTATACCCCTTGGATGCCTCCTTAGGTTTAGTACTCCTTCCCATGTGGGATGGAGGCCTAACCACGAAATTTCACTCCTTTCCCATGTGGGATGGAGTGATTTTCATCCAACCCTAATCCAATAAGGTTCTGGAACATTCCTGATTAACCAACTATCGATTAATCAACATTCAACCCTTTAATTAATTAAACTGTTAATTAATTTCCAATATATATTTCCAAAATATATTTCCAATTAGTTTCTAATTAATTATTAACCATAATAATTAATAAACCAATTTCTCCTTTATTTATTCTACTCAATTTGGGTCTTGAGGGCAACCCAAAAGGACCCTGCTATTATTAGAAATATTAGCAATAGTTAATGACCTTGGACACTATTCCAACAGCTTCTGCATTCGAGGTGAGTCTTCTCACCATACCAATGGGTTTAAGGCACCAAGGCCGGCCCATTTTATGTTATGTGGTACACTAGCTGTAGTAGAGATATGTGGTATGGTAGTTAGCTTTATGCTAAGTGGTATGCTAGTGATTATATGATATGTTTTATGCTAGTTGTCTTTGTGATACTTGCATGGAAGACCCCGGGGGGAGCCCGTGGCATTGGATGTAAGACCATGTGGGGTAGCCCATGACAGTCCTAGGTAAAGACCATGTTAGGTAGCCCATGACATTGGAAGTAAGACCATGTGGGGTAGCCCATGGCTTTCCTAGGTTTTATGTATGCATGGCTTATGTGATACATGTAGCTTTTATAGCTAACATGATATGTGTTATGTGGATTGTGTGTATGGTATGCTCTGGGAAACTCACTAAGCTTCGTGCTTACATGTTTTGTTTATTGTTTCGGGTATCATCATTTTGGAAAGGAAGAGCTCGGATTGATCGCAGTGCACACACCTATGATTTCCGCAATGAATGATTTTGGGATGAACTATGATAAATGTTTTACTTAATGATGATTTGAAATGTTTGGAATAAATGATATCTATTTTTAGGTTATATTAAAAATGAAATTTTTACCCCTGATTTTTGGGTCGTTACATCTTCATTGAATTTTCCACCACCACAACCCAATAGAAGGGATGTGGTGTTGGTTCGCCAAAGTTGAAGGACCGAAAAAGAAGGGATAGTGAAGACGTTGATGTCATTAAAGATGGAAAGGAAAGAGAAGTTGAGGATGATGACAGATGGAATGGTGACTGGTGGGACCGAGCTTAAATTTCTCGAATGTGGTTTTAGGTTTAAGGTGAGGAGATACAAATATGTGGGTCTATTAATTTTATAAAATATATAAAAAATAAATACATAAATAAGAAAATTAATTAAAAAATAAATTAAAAAGGGCACAATAGTCTTTTGAGGTAAGACATGAAGCAAACGCACAACAAAAATAAACAGTTGGGATCATCCAAGTTAAAAAAATAAGTTAGGGACCAAACGCACAAATTACCGAAACTACAGGGACCATTCGTGTAATTTACTCTTACCTTTTCGGTGTGTTCAAATCTGGGTAACAATTTTTTTTGTATACATCTAGGTAACAAACTTTTTGAAAATGTTCACATATGACCATTATGACCGGTTATGACCGGATGTAACCTGCTACAGCCGATCATAATGGTCATATGTAAACATTTCCAAAAAGTTTGTTATCTAGATGTGTACAAAAAAAAAGATAGTTACCCAGATGTGAACAAACCGAAAAGTTAATTACCTTATTAAGTCCATTTCCCAAAAAATATCAACAAAGTAAAAAGTAAAAAAGATACTAAAATTTTCAAAATAAACCAAAACAATATATACAAGCTTTGTTGTATAAATAATATTATATTTTGAGATTTTTTTGTTTAAATCTAAAAAATTTTTATTTTATTTTTAGTAGGTTTAGCGTTAATCCTCTCTAATAAATGAAAGTTTTTTTTTTTTTTTTTTTTTTTTTTTTTTTTTTTCACTTGTCACATTCTCATTCAATTTGCCAAATGTCATTTTATAGTTATTTTGAATTAATTTTTTTCCACATGTCATTTTATTAGTTTTTTATATTTTATTAAATTCCACATAATATTTTAATGTAATAATTGCAATAAATGTAGTAATAAATGAATATCAATTTATTAATCAACTTACTTTTTAATTTCAAAATTTCCAAAATTAAAGTTTATTAATTTTTATTTATTTAAATTATTTGTTTAAATTTAAAAGTTAAAAAAACATTTACATTATAATAATTCATTACTTTTCTTATTTTCTTATAAATTTAAAGTATATATATATATATATATATATATATATATATATATATATATATATATATATATATATATATACATTAATCCATGTAATACATGGGTTTCACAACTAGTCTTCTAATAAAAGATATAAAATTTTTAGAAAAAACCCTCAATATTTTTGGGAAAACAACCTCATATATATTTTTTTTAATATGTTTTAGCTCATAATTCTCATGCCGTTTTCAACATTAAAATCTAAATGAAACATTATATTATTTTTCAATAAAACAAAATGTTGATGTGTCCAAATATACATATTAAAATCTATTCAAGGATGTTTAGAACATAAGACATACCATATCATTTTCTTCTCAATATTACACACCATTTTTTTCTCAAGGAAATACCTACCCTTCACTGAATTTTATTATTTTCTAAAACAAATTTTACATTTTGTTAAAATTGATTATATTTGTGGATATTAATTAAGCTAATCATATTTTAAGTTAATGTTAAAAAAAGCAACATTTTGGAAATGGCTTATTCCGGACCAAGTTATGCCACCATAAAAAAATATATTTTTTTGACAAATGAATACACTTTGAACCGACATTTTGGATTCCGAACCAATATTCCAAAATTTCCACAAAAAATTAGTATTTTGGAGTTTGAAGAACAAATCTGAAATCCTATGAAAATTTCAGAATTTTGAAACAACCATTCGCTTTTTATTAAATTCTAACAAAAAGTTAAATAAACATAACAAATGAGATGTATATACAATACAAAGGATTAAAATGAAACATTCGTTTCAAAAAGGTGATAATAAACATTTAAAAATGCAGATTTTGAAACATGAGTATAACGCATAGTTCCCGAGTTTAACAAAAGAAACAAAGAGAATAGAAAGTCAAGAGAAAAAGGAAAGGAAAACAATTTTTTTTTGTGTTCCCGAGTTTAAGAAAAGTAAGAGGAAATTAATCATTTTGTTCTTTTCTTTCCGAATTTTCCCAAATCGAAAGCAAAGTTAAGAGGAAAAGTGATCATTCCATTTCTCTCCGCTTTCTTCCTTTAATGAAACTCAGGAACATCATTTTCTTTTATTTTTTTATCATTTCCATCCATTTCATTTATCTTCTCTCGTTAAGTTGAACTCGCGAATTGGATGTAAGAGTTTTTTTATAAGTTTTTTTGTGCAAATAAGAAAAATTATCTGTTTAAATTGAGTCCCGTGTATTTTATTAATTAATAACAATAAATAATGAAATATAATACATATTAACAAATACATAATAAAATAAATAATAAATAAATAAAATGTTGATGTCATTAATCCTTTTCATATACATGTTTGATTTTCAATTGAGTTTCAATCCCGCTCAAACCCTTCACTATCTCTCATCTCTCTCGCTACAGTTGGTAACTCCATTTCTCTCTAGATTCATCTCATCTCATCCACACCTTTGCTGGTTCCATTTTGCTGTCTGCCTCCACTCTCAACGATCCAATCCATTGATTCACGACGGCATGACCGTTTTCCCCCTTTCTTTCTCACTTTAGCAATATCAATTTTGAAAACCCTAGAAAATATTTTGCTGTACATTCATGGATAATTTCCACATATACGAAGCCATCGGCCAAGGAAAATACTCCGTACTGAGCTCTTTATCTCTACTGTTATGTATATTCTTCTACCATTTTGTTTCAGTTCAGTAATCGAATTGTGTGCTATGGTTTGCAGACTGTATATAAAGGGAGGAAGAAGAAAAGCGTTGAATACTTCGCAATCAAAAGCGTTGATAAATCTCATAAGAGCAAGGTTCTTCAGGAAGTAAGTCAACTGTTTTACTTACATGTTCGAAATCGAATGTTTTAGAAGGATATCGTAATTCAATTTCAGATCCATATCAATATTCTCTCCTTACGGTGATAATGCGGCATAGGATCTACCATACTTGCATAGTTTTCTTTCGTTATTCAAAATTTCAATCTAAGCTTACTATTGGAGTGTCTGGATATCCATCTAAACTGATCATTGCGATAATCAGTTTGGATCGTTTGGCAAAGAGCGATTATAGTTTTGAGGATTTAGGTCAAAATAAGCAGATTTTGGATTGTAAACTTACCCAAAAAAACCTTGACATTAATCAACTTACTATCTGATATTCAAGTCATAAAATCACATCCAAAATGCAAATCCCAACACCACTCATTTCTTCATTTTTAAATATTGTAGATCGTAATTGATTTTGGTATACGGGGTTCTGTATTATTGAAGTGTGTTTAGGATTCTGTTATGGTAAACACGTCACTGTACTTTTACATTCCTTATTGAGTGCAATTTAACAAAAAGCTTATCTTTCACATACTTGCACTTCCACAGTCATTATCAATTACATGTTTTTTTGTCCAATTCTAATCAAATTAAGTAACATGAATGGTTGATTTGGGGACAAGAGCATAAGTGTAAGAAGAAATTTGATAGAGAAAATGTTAATGTTTCAATTGCTGTTGATGATTTGTGCTGCAGGTTAGAATTCTTCACTCTTTGGATCATTCTAATGTACTCAAATTTTATGCATGGTAAGCCAAACCCAACATTTTCAATTTTTTATTATATAAATGTTTTTGAGTTTCTAGTGTCTGTGACACTTTGAATTATCATTGTGGTTATATATCTTTGTCTTAGATGAATTGTTTATACATTAGACCATGTATTTTTCTTGTTTTGAAATAGGTATGAAACTTCTGCTCATTTGTGGTTGATTTTAGAATACTGTGTTGGTGGTGACCTCCGGACATTACTGGAGCAGGTATGGACAAATCTTTATGTTTTTCATGCAAGAAAAAATCACCTGGATGAATGAAACAAAAATAACAAATTCAACAAACTCAAAATTGAGTAAAAGTGTGCTTGTTCTTTCTTAACCCGGGATGTACCTTTTTTAGAAAGAAAACAGTTTTATACATTTGGGTTCAATATATCAAAAGGAAACAAAGGAAACCGACATTGTTTTATCAGTTACTAAAGGCTTCAAATTGTTTACTAGTGTTATATTCAATTAAGATTGAAATTAGCACAAAGTCATTTTCTTCATCTTAGTAAAGGAATAAATCATATGAAAGTTAGTTTAATTGTTTTAATACATATTTTGGAGCTAGTAACACTTGTTAATCAACCAACATGGATTGTTGCATTACAGGACAATAAACTTCCAGAAGATTCAGTACATGATCTTGCACGTGATCTTGTTAGAGGTTTAAGGTAAAACAATTTCTCTTTTTAAAACATAATAATACATGATTTTAGAGTTTGTATCATCTGACGCTGTTCTCAAATCAATGTAATAATCAGTTATCTACACTCCAAGGGAATCATCTACTGTGACTTGAAACCATCAAACATTTTATTAGATGAAAACGGTCGTACAAAGGTAATTTTTTGCAGTATTTATGATTCTCTCATTGGTTTTTATGCACAAACATTTTTCATAATGGTTGATATGTATAATGTATTGCAGCTTTGTGATTTTGGGTTATCCAGAAAATTGAGCGACATATCTAAAACACCTTCTTCTCTTGTAAGTGTTCCTAACAATTTTGCACTCGTTTTGGTTTTTCAGTGGTCATTATCTTGAATATTATTAATTACATAACACTTTTTTTTTTCTTTCTATATTGTTTAGCTACCACAAGCAAAGAGGGGCACTCCATGCTACATGGCTCCTGAGTTGTTCCATGATGGTGGAGTGCATTCATATGCTTCTGATTTATGGGCACTTGGTTGTGTCTTATATGAATGTTATTCTGGTAGACCACCCTTCATTGGAAAAGAATTCACACAATTAGTAAAATCAATCCTCACTGATCCAACTCCATCTCTCCCAGGCAATCCCAGCCGTACATTTGCTAATCTTGTCAGTTCTCTTTTAATCAAAGATCCCACTGATCGAATCCAATGGTCAGAAATCACCACTCATGCCTACTGGAGAACACACCTTAGTCCAGTCTCTTTACCACCTCAACCTGCTTTCGATAACATGATACAGCTTTCTTATAAGCCTTCTTGCCTCACAGAACGAGAACGCAATCTTCAAAACAAAACCCCACCAAGAAACCGCGATAACTCTTCTAAACTCAATGAAACACCCAAAAACCGGAAGATTCAATCCAAGCAGAAAGATGTTTCGAGTAATACAAAGGGTGTGAATCTGTTGCGCCTTTCCAGGATAGCAAAATCGAATTTACAGAGGGAAAACGAGAAGGAGAATTACCGAAGGCCATTGCCGAATAACTCTGAACATGACACTGATGTTAAAATTGAAAACACAGATATGGAGCTTGATTTTAACGAGAATACAGAGGACGATACCCAAGACGAGAACGAACTTCCTGCTACGCCTAGTCGTAACCTTACCGTTGATGAAAATTTATCAACTCCAGATCCCGAAGAGAAAATAATACATGAAATTGATGCGTCACCTTTGATTAACACAGACGAATCAAGAAGAACTGATCATGAATCGGAATCCTCAGTGCCTGCGACTCCACCGACTGCTTCACCTCAGCCCAAAACTCAAAGAATAATCGAAGATTCAGGTGGTGTGGTTAGCCTATCACAGGTGGTTTGGCATTCATCTGACCTGTCGGTGCGACCTGTGATGCCGAGTAAAAAGTCCGACAAACAATCAGATGTCCTCCCGTCTCTGCCATTTGACGCGATTCCAGCTTCCGATCTCGTGAAATTACCAAAAGACCAGTTAGATGTTGTCACAAAATCAATCGTAACCATACTAAATGGAAACACCACGATCGGTGAGAAGCAGAACGTGATTAGATACCTTGAGATGTTAAGCACGAATGTCGAAGCTGCCAATATTTTGACCAACGGCTCAATAATGCCGGTTCTTGTGAAAATGCTCCGGCAATCAAAGGCCTCTGCTTTGCGTGTTATGCTTGCTTCACTTCTTGGCTTGCTAATACGCCATTCTACTTATATCGAGGATGAATTGTCGAATTCTGGTATATTGGGTGCGTTGAATGAAGGTTTGGTAGATAGGCAAGAAAAAGTTAGAAGATTCTCGATGGCTGCTTTGGGGGAGTTGTTGTTTTACATATCTACTCAAAACGACCAATCCAAACCAACAATCCCGCCGGAAAGCCCGTCGAAGGAAACCAAAGCCTCATCAGGGTGGCAGGTCAATTTTCTTCACAGTTGCTATGATCAAACAACAAACTTTCATTTATTTGTATGTAATAGTATTATCCACTTTATTCTTTTTATTTGTATATTGATTTTCAGGTTCCGAGTACATTGATTTCACTGGTGACGTCACTTTTACGTAAGGGAGAAGACGACATAACTCAGCTTTACGCATTACGAACAATAGAAAACATCTCAAGTCAAGGAGGCTACTGGTCAACTCGTTTTACCAGCTCAGACGTTATCAATAACCTCTGCTACATCTTCCGAGCTCCCGGAAAACAAGAAACCATCCGACTCACTGCCGGATCATGTTTAGTGCGATTGGTCCGTTTTACCCCTCCCACCATCCAACAAGTAATGGAGAAACTCACATTCAAAGAAATGGCCGGAGCCATCTCAAAAGGAAACCCTAAAGAACAACAAATCTGCTTAAACCTTCTAAACATGGCGGTGCTTGGCGGCAATTTCTTCCCTAACATCGGCCGCCACCTTCTCCCGCTGGTGGAGGACAAGAATTTAGTCCCGAATCTTATCTCGTTGATTGAACACGGTGGTGAGGTTTTGAGAGGGAAAACCCTAGTTTTTGTGACGTTGCTTTGTAAGAACAGGAAGCGGTGGTTAGGGCAGTTTTTCTTGAACGGGAAATTAATGTCGACTGTGGATAGGTTGGTGGTGAAGGAGAAGGGCGTTTATTTGCAGCAGTGTTTGGAGGCATTTTTGTTTGGTGTGGTGGCTGTGATTCCGGGGTTACTGGAGACTGTAATTTCCGATGTTCAGCAACTGATGGGAGGGGGAGGTGGAGGGAGACGACATACGCTGGTTGCTGCTTTGACTGGTAGAGCTTCTTCAAAGACCAATCTTCAACTTTTTTCTGTTGTTCTAAACCTGCTTGGAAGTTCTTCTTTTAAACATAAAGTCGTGAATGCGGAGGTTCTTCAGCAACTTAAAGTTTTAATCAAATTGGTGGAATCACCGTTCCAGGTAAACACGGTAACCAACTGTTTTGATACTGTGGGATTTGATGGAATTGGAATTGGAATTCAATTCCATTCCAGTCCCGTTTTTGGTTGTTAACACACTATAAAAAGCGAAGATTAGACTTAAATTCCTTCAACCCTTCCCTAGGAATTTGAAAATTTTTCTACAGAACTAAACTTTGTACATTTGACGGAATGGAATCTTATATTCCAATTCCGTTGGTACCCTTAAAAGATTCCAATTCCTTCCAGAATTTTTTTTGAACAAACCACCTTCTTAATAAATTTCTGTTTATTATAAATATATATAATTGGTTTTCTGGTTGCATTTATTTCAATATATTATATATAAACCGAAGGGTATTTTTGTCTTTTATCAAAAAGCATATATTGAAATTGCACTTCCACTAACCTTCTCTAGGATGGAGAAATCCATGGAACATGTAATTTGAAGAATTCAAACGAGAATTGAATTCTGTACATCTGTCAACCAAACACTCCAATGAATTAAATAAAATGAAAAAACCAATTTTGTGATTTTTTTTTTTTTTTTTTTTTTTTGAATATATATAATAAGTAGGAATGTTGTTTTCCCAATCCAGATAAGATGTAAACATTTGATTTGTGATTGAATTTTTCAGGGAAGGGATGATTTCCAGATAACCCTTCTAAGGGTACTTGAAACAGTGACAGAAGAAGCCTCTTTCATTGAGGAAAACCACTCGGGTTTTGTCCATGAAATACTTCCAAGTCTCTCCATTGTTTGCAAAGCAAGCAAAGATGGAGACGCAAGATTCTTATGCTTGAAGATATGGTTTGAAGTGGTGGTGAGTTTGTTATACGAATCATCATCATCTCATGATAACAATGGAAAACGAGAGGAATTGAAACAAATATGCCATCATCATTTCCTCCCTCTGTATCCACAGCTAATGGAAGATGAAGATCCAATTCCTATATATGCACAAAAACTAGTCGAGATGCTGGTAGAATTCAAGATCATCACACAGCAATGATTAATGAATCTTCTTCTTTTTGGATTTATCTTCCAAATGATTTGTATGCTATATATGTTGTGCACACTCATTGTTTCCTCAACACAAAGAAACTCTATGCTTATGTTCATTTCAATTGTACCTCTAGTTGCCCAGTCAATGTTATCACTATGAGTTTTGATGAAACTATATTAGTCTATACTTATATTTAATAATGGAGATTGAGCAAATCAGTTTAATCAATTAACTTTTTTTTAGTAAAGATTCAAAATGATTGTTATAGATTTGCTCTTTCCAGGCTGTTTACCTTTTAAATAGACTAATCTTAAGGGATGTGTTTTTTAAACCTTAATGTGTGTAATTTTGTCGGTATTCTAATTTTTGTAATTATTTTAGTAAGGAAACAAATTATTTTTAATGTTTTTAAAATGTCTAGTTACACACTTTATAAGACCATACGATATGCTAAGCACGAGACCATTTGTGGTATATGTGGCCACGAACCACAATCGTGCACACCGTCCCGGTGTGTCGTTGTCGTGAGTTGTGGTCATTGTGTTTCGTGATGGCTACGACGAGCGTGGACGACCAATGAGAATTTGGCTTGCCAATTCGACTGTTCAACTGTTTATTTTTAAAATTTTTAATTTTTTTTTCCAAACAAATTACCTATATATACACAAAACATAACATTCACCTTTCATCAAATTTTACACTCTTTATCACACAAAAAGACATGAATTTCTTTAAGAATTTTGACTCGGATGATGACGAAGAATTCATCTCAATTTTCTTCAATGTTGTGTAACACATTCACGATGAAGAAAGGTCGAATGTTGCACGCTCAAGAGTGGTCGTCAATCGTGATCGCCGAAACATAAACAACTTATTGGTACGTAATTATTTTGCCAATAATTGTCTTTAAAATGATGACTTGTTCGAACGTGGTTTCTGTCTAAATAAGACTATATTTCTACGTATTAGTAATACTTTAGAGGTCCGTTATGATTTTTTTAAACAAAACCCTAATGTTAGAGGAAGAGTGAGTTTTTCCAGTATACAAAAATCTGCAGTTGCGCTTAGGTATTTGGGATACGATATAGCATTTGATGCACGTTTCTCTCTTTATTGAATGAAAAACTAATTAAAAAAATTTATATGTTGGTTTTTTGTATTTAAAAACTGTATTTTTATTGGATTTTTTAATTAAAAAAAATAAAAAAATGATGTGGAGTGGAGTGTAGTGGTGAGTATCCCATATGTTTAGTGGTAGTTAGTGGTGATGATGTGATACCCACCATTATAGTGGTTAATGGTGAGTATTAAGGATGACCTTATATCAATAAAAATGGACAATGCACTTTTATTTTTTCAACAAAACTGAAAAAATGGTCCATGTGGTATGCATTTTTTCTGGGTTTTAGTACAAATCCCGACTTTTTGTTTTTTTGGCTTCATGGTCCTTTTGACCATGTTTCTATGTGGAAATGGTCACCGAATTAACTCCCGTTGAGTTGCTGTTAACCACCTCATGTGCCTCCTACGTGAGGGTATATTCGTATTTTCACCTTTTAGGGACTATTTTTGCAGATATAAAAAATTATATCACCTTTAAATGTTCCCCACCGTTGCGACCATCCCCAACGTCTCTCTTCTCCCCTTCTTCTTCTTAAGCTCTTACAATAGCAATGGTGATATGTTTTTATGGAAAGTTTGTGGTGGTGAAAATATCATGAACCTCACTGGATCCCGAAAGGAGATTTTATGCTTGCTCTATGAACGATTCTGTTTGTGGGTTTATTGGGTAGCTTGACCCGCCAATGTGTGCTAGGGCTAAAACCATCAAATCTAGTCTCCTAAGAATTTTTAATACAATGCAGAAACGGTGCAATGGATTGGTTAGACGTATTAACATACTAGAAGAACAATGCAATGGACTAATAAGCATGAACATCTTGGCGGCAAATTGCAATGCAATGAGGATAAATCTTTGAAACTGAAAATCTATCTATCTATTTACAAGTTGGTTTATGTTTGTGATTGTTATTTTCGGTATTTGGTTTGTGTAGGGGTTACGGTTATATAAAAAAGGGGGGGGGGGGGTTGTTGATAAGTGATCAGGAGTATTAGTATAAAAATGGGGTTTTTGTGGTAAGTTGATTTGATCACGTTTGTTATGAATTATGTTGTTAATGATATATATATATATATATATATATATATATATATATATATATATATATATATATATATATATATGGTATGTTGTTATGAATTATGTTGTTAATGATATATATGGTATGAAAGTATGAAAATGTGACAAAATAAGCACATCAATAGAACCAAAAATACATTACCAAAATATGTATCAAAGTATGACCAAAATGTACCAAAATAAGCACATCAATAGAACTAAAAGTACATTACCAAAATATGCATCATAAATTGACCAACTTGCAATGTTATATCTATCAAAATTTGACCAAAATGCACATTTCATTAACCACATCAGTTGAACCATAAATACATTACCAAAATAAGCATAAATGTGTCATTGCACCACATCATTACAACCAAAATACAATTAAAGTGTCATTGCACCATACATAAAAGTCTAACCATAAAAGTGTCATCCCAAAACATAACAACCAAGTTTTCAACAAAATATAACCAAACTCACAGGAAAAAACCTACATGAAACCATACCAACTTCAAAAAAACTTACTTCTTGGACTGATTCCCACCTTGCCCTTTACATGTCCTAGAGTTGTGTCCCTTATTCTTGCATTCTCCACAAGTAACACTAATATGCTTCCTTGATAGCTTTTGCACTCCACCATCAGCTGGTCTATGACAACCTTCTCCTTGTGTAGCACCTTGACTTCCCCTTTGTCTTTTGCTCAACCTTTCACCCTCACTCCGCCTTCTTTTTTTCTTAGGACTTCCCACATGAGTGTGATGTGGGGGATGGATTAGCTTTGTTGGGAAATCACTTTTGGGCCACATGACTCTCCCTTTGATTGGCTTGACCTTAATTTGAATAGGATTTTTTCCATACAACATTGGGCTTGGCTCTTCTCATCTCTTCCTAACCTAATCTAAAAAAAAACGGACAACACAAATCGCCGCTCTCGTTCATTCTCACATCTTCTCAACAACATTCTTCCATTCCCATCAAATCGGACGTCAGAGCTCGCCATCGTCTTCATCTTCGTAGGTCCGTCATCGTCTTCACCTTACCGTCACTCACCATATGCATCACCTCTCGTTGCCGATGTTGTAGGTTCACCGTCGTCTTCATCTGCCATCGTCTTCATCTCACGTCGACATGTAAGGTTTTTTTTTTGTTTTTTCTTCAGATTTTTGATTTCTAACGTATAGCCTTTGATAACCGATTTTATGCTTTTCAGTTGTTATTTATCCTTGATCCACAATTCCTAATCGTTCTTCATTCTAAAACGTGAAATTACACTCTACATTTATTTACAACATTCGATTTTATTCAATTGGATTGTTCTAAAATGTGGAAATCTAGATTTTTTGATTAGTTTGATGTTTTGGTAAAAAAAATCAATTTGTTAGTAAATTTCAATAACAGTAATGTAATGTAGTACATGATCGATTTTTGTTGAGTTGTTAACAAGCTTTGCTAAAATCTTTGTTGAAATCAGAAAATTATGCATGTTTATGTTGATTTCTGATGTAGTTGTTCCTATAACCGATTTTTTGCTCTAAGTATGTTATTTATGTTTTCTGAAAATAATTTGTGCTGATTTCTTATCAATGTTTGATAAAATCTTTGCTGAAATCAGAAACTTATATACAAGTTTATGCTTATTTGCTGATTTTATTGTATAATCTTTGCTTATATGTTTTTTTTTTCGTTTTCTGATTCATGATGCATTGTTGCTGAATTGTCATCAATTGAAGTTCTTATTATGTTGAAATATCATTATTTTTTGTTGCTAAAGTATGTATTCCATATTTTTTTGTTATTAGCAATGAGAGATAAACATACATGGACCAACGAGCAAATAAAATTCTTATTGCACACTTGTATAGAAGAAGTACAAATTGTGGGTAAAAAGGTTTGAGTTTGCACAAAAATTTATGGAACAAGTTAGGAACAACCATTAAGGAAAATTATGGTGTGAATTTGACACAAAGACAATTGAAAAACGCCTATGACTACCTTAAACCCAAATACACATGATGGTTATACTTGAAAAACAAAACTGGCAACCTTTACAATCCTCAAACAAACACTTTTAACTTAACAAATGAGGAGTGAGAGGACATTAAATATATATATATATATATATATATATATATATATATATATATATATATATATATATATATATGTGTGTGTGTGTGTGTGTGTTTTCTTAATATAGTTGGCAATTATTCTTATACTACTTTTGTTACATTGATTGGGTTTAGGGATATCCGAAAGCCGTTTCTTTGAAAACTATCCCATTGTTGTTTTCAGAGCTTTGTGCATAACTCTTTGATGGAAACAGTGCCTCTGGTAATCTCAGCTATGCCACATCCCAAACACCATCGGGACATGGATCATCTTCTTGCCATGTTGTACCACTACAGGTTATGGACACCCCTTCTATTAACATAGACGAGGATGATTACTTTTCCAATCATACTAGTGAGCCTTTTACCCAACCACCACCTTCTGGTGCTTCACCTTTTGCTGATTCACCTTCTGCTGCTTCACCTTTTGGTAACCCAAACAAAATCGCAAAACCTCAACTCCTAGACCTCGAGCTCCTAGTGCCTCACCTGATCCACTTTCTAGTGCCTCACCTAAAGCTTCTATTACTGTTGATGATTTAACACTAGAGATGCAAAAAGCTCTACGACATTTGACTCAAGGGCCTACAATTCGTCAATGTTTAGAGAAGCTAGAGTTGCTCGAGTTAGGCCCAGTAGACCCTCTACGATTTGTTGCTTATCATATTTTTGGAGGGACCATGAATATAAGAGAGATGTTGGTAAATTTGCCCATTGATCCACAAATATTAAGAGGATGGATCGAGATGAATGCTTCAAGTTTAGGAGTCGTAAAGGATGGAAAGATTGTCCGTTAAGTTTACATATTTGAGTTGTTTAGGTTTTAATTGCATGTGTTGGAACTATGTGGTTATGTTTTTTGGTTATTTGGTACTTGAATTTTATGTTATTTGGTACTTGAGTTTTATGTTTGGTTATTTGGTACTTGAGTTTTATGTTATGTTATTTGGTACTTGAATCTTATGTTATGTTATTTGGTACTTCAATTTTATTTTATGTTATTTGGTACTTGAGTTTTATGTTTTGCTATTTGATTAACAGGTTCCTAATGGATCACAACAAAAAGATACTTCTCATAATTCTAATGTACTTGTATGTCTGCTACTTTTTGAAAAGGGGTGTGAAATGAGAGCGTGACAACGATTCAGAAATGACGGGACATGAATTTACGTTAGAGTTACTTCACCATAATCCTTCACAATGTGTTGAAGTACTACGCATGTCAGGTGAATCATTTGTCCGACAATGTGCTCATTTTAGTGTAAATTACGCGTTAAAGGATAACAAACATGTATCGGTTAAGGAAAAGATGACTATGTTTTTGATGATGATTGGTCATAACCAACGTTAACGTTACGTGATTATCAAGCGAAAATTTTAACACTCAAAGAAAACAATTCATAAATTTTTCATGAAGTGTTGGACAGAATGCTGCTTTTCGCAAATGACATTATAGTACCAACTTCTTTTAACCCGAATCCAAACATTCTAGGACATAATAAGAGGCTTCAACGGGTTTTTAAAGGAGCAGTTGGTGCACTTGATGACACTTTGATATATGTTGTTGTCCCTGCAAACAAGCGAACTTTATATAGAAGTAGGTGAAACGACGATTGTTACCAAAATGTATTGGCAATATGTGACTTCAACAAGATGTTTACGTTTGTTGTGGCCGGTTCGGAAGGGATAACACATGATTCTAGAATATTATCAGAAGCATTAGCAAATCCACATGCACCATTCCCGTTTCCACCATCAGGTAAGTTTATGGTTATTTAAATAGTTTTATCTTAGTTTAAAAACAGTTTTTTTTTTTTTTTTTTTTTTTTTTTGCAATTTTACAGATAAATATTATCTTTGTGATGCTGCCCATGCAAACATTCGAGGTTTTATGGCACCGTATCGTAATGTGAGGTATTGGCTTGAAGATTTTCGTCGAAGACGTGCATTAACCAATAAAGAAAAATTTAACCATGCACACGCAAAACTTCGGAACGTCATTGAGCGTGCTTTTGGTGTCTTGAAAGCACGATTCCCTATATTTAAGTGGATGACACCATTCTCATTGGTTACACAACGAAACATTACTCTTGCATGTTTCGTGCTTCATAATTTTATTAAGAAGAGAGGGACTACGTGATAAGTATTTTGGACGATATGATGAACCAAATATATCGGTTCGGAATAACAATGTAGTCCTTGATGATGATGAAGATGAGATTCTAACGCATGGTACTGCATCGGACTGTGAATATATGACCCAATTACGGGATGAAATTGCCGAGCAATTGATGCAAAATATGGAATGAGAATTATTAAAGTTTGGTTGTATGAATTTTATCTCAAAATGTTATTGTAAGACTAATTTGGTTGTATGAATTTTATTTCAATGTTTTAAGACTAGAATTATTAAATTTTCGGTATTGAAAAACTATTTTCTGTTAATTAAATCAATTTATTTTAATTTTTTAATATCTGCAGCAGCCTGCAGATGTTAAAAAACAAACACGCTTCTTATTACAGTCTGCATCCATTTGATCTACCTCTTCTGCTGCAGAGGGTTGTAAAGGTGGTCCGCAGACTTTATGAAATTTTGTTTAAAAAAAAACAAACAACGCCTTAGTCTCTCAATCAAATACAAAATTAGAGTTACTAAAATTAGTCATGAGAGTAAGGTTATACCTTTATTTTTCTTAATCATGTCTAAGAACCACCACAAAATCCCTACATGCTTGAGAACCATCATGACTTCTGAGAAACTTATCTATTATCCCAGAACCACCACAAAATCCCTACATGCTTGAGAACCATCATGACTTCTGAGAAACTTATCTATTATCCCATCATCTCGACACTGCATATAAAAGAAACAATAAATATTGTAAATATATAACATTGATTTGAAATGATTAATCGTTTACTCATATTCTAACAATACATTCAGTAAAAAAAATAACTATTTTTATATATACAACAATCTATCCAAACATACATCATTATTCACTAAGTCACTTTATCCATACAAGAGTTAATGACAGAAATAAAGAAAAAACCGATGTGTTTATGATGTGTTTATTAGTGATATATCAAAGTAGAATGCTATAACATGTATAGAAAGCACAGTGTTGATCTTACAAAATATCAACAATGAGATGATACTTTTTCTCCTTTTTTGAGATATAAATTGAGGAAATTAAAGAAGTGTCATAAATTAGAACAATTAGCTCATGAGTAAATGCAATAATTTTGGTTAAGTTGGTGTTAAGACGACTAACCTTAAAAGTTAGTTATGAACTAACTTAGTCAGTTTGAAGTTTGAAGTTTGATGTCTGATGTCAGGTTAGATGTGAGAGGCAGTTTGGCAAATGAAGTCATAAAATGCTTTTCGACTTGGCCTTGAAGGTTAGTTAGCTTAGCAATGGTACAAAGTTATTTGGTTAGGCTTAAGATAGACATACAGATAAATGTTATTTTTTTATAGGGTTAATCTTATAAAAGATTTTATATTTTGTATTTTTCCGAATTAAATCTTAACTTTATTTTTTTGCCTGAAAAAGACATTGTATTTTTTTATTTTTTCTTATTTGGCTATTTTAGTCATTTTTTCCAAAAAATATTGTAAAATGTGAGAGTTTTTTTAGAAAAAAAAAGTTTGAGGGTTTGTTTGGAAACAGTTAACAGGTTGATGGTTTTTTTCGAAAAAAAAAAGACACTTCAGGGTTTTTTTCGAAAAAAAATATAAAGTCTTTTTTTGGCAAAAAATTAAAGTGGAGGTTTAATCAAGATAAAACACAAAATATAATATTTTTTGTGAGATTAACCCTTTTATATATATACTTACTTTTATTAATGTTTCTAATTATGCTTAACAACAATATAAAATATGTTTGAATGAGTTACGGTATTCCAAACATTTAAAATAGAACAAATATAAAATAAGATATTACATTATTGTGTTCATTTAATTACGATTGTCCATTTATTTTAAAATATTATTGAGATCCATGTCCAGTTGCTCACTACCACAGTCATTCTAGTGTTCCAATTGATTGTTAAATAAGTTATTACACGAAATAACAAATAATTTTACCTTTTCTGGTAATCAGTGGATGTAAAAAGTTGATCCATTAATAGCAATAGCCAATAAGAGAAAGCAGAGCATAGCAATAGGTTTAATCGTAGTTGCCGCAAAGTCTTTTCTGAACTAATTGCATTTCCAAATGGAACTGCTTACCAAACACTCCCAACTTTTTCGATACAAACTATAAACCCCACTCCTCTATATAATATTCGTCACACTCTTCGTGCTCTTCGCCCCTCTTTCTCTTTGTTCAAATCCACATTCGCTATCAGATCTCATTTGATCTTCCATTTACCATCATCAATGGCTTCCGTCGCAGGATCTTCGACTTTTATGGCATCTCTTTCATGCCACAAGCCCAATCAGGTGAAACAAAACATACATTCTTCGATTTCTTTGAAATTTTTACTCGATCTTAATCTGATCACACTAATCCTTGTTGTTTTTGCATATTTTTTTGAGATGTTGACGGTTTTTCTTCGTTTTGCTATAAATTTTAATACTTTTCAGCTTAGTTTGTTGGTTCCTATTTTCTTACCTTGATTTAGTGATGAATTTTCGTATTAAATTATCTTAAACCCTATTCTTGATCCTGCAAATTCGATACCAGAATTTAGGGCAAATTTTGGACTCATAGCTTTCGTGTGATGGTCTTCTGATTTTATGATGTTTCGTTTTGTGATTGTATGAAGGACAGGGCACTAACATTCGTTTGGAATTTGAATTTTTACGACCTTAACAGAATCAACCATGTACTTACCTAATTTGATCCATGCGTTCTTCCGTTATAACATACAAGATTTAGACCTCAATTTCACTCTGCTATCCGATTTTCCTCTGTTTCTGATCAAATTGGGTTTCCAATAAGTAATTTGGTTTGGTGTATAGCTTCATTATACGCCTGTTTTGCTAAAATTCGGTTCTTTTTTTTACAGGCGCTTACCAGGGCTTCTAATTTCAATTCAGTATCACTTGCTACCAATGGGAAATCCTTCACCTCCCTTAAATTGCATTCTGCCTCTTCACGCTTCAGGATTTCCTGTGCGGTATATGTTCTATCCTCTTCTTTCTTCTCCATTATATGATAGCATCAAACATCTCATTGATTTTCAAAGCTTAAACATTAACATATATAGATAGAGTGATGTGTTTTTCTATTTCATCTACACAGGCTAAACCAGAGACAGTGGACAAAGTTTGCTCCATTGTTAGGAAGCAACTTGCACTACCAGAAGACTCTGCTGTCACTGGAGAATCCAAGTTTTCTTCACTTGGAGCTGATTCTCTTGATACGGTGGGTATTTTGTTTTCTTTATTATGGTTGAAAATTCAAAATCTTTATTCTTTTCTTTGTATATATACACCAAATTTCTGATTCATATAATATTGGTGTAAACAGGTTGAGATTGTGATGGGACTTGAAGAAGAATTTGGAATCAGTGTGGAAGAAGAAAGTGCTCAGACCATTGCAACTGTTCAGGATGCTGCTGATTTGATTGAGAAGCTCATTGAGAAGAAGTAAGAAAAATTGGAGTTGAAATTCAGCAGAATAGGGTGGTTGGTTATCCTTTTTCTTGTTTTTTTTTTTTTTTAAAAAAAAAACCACAAAATCTTTATGAGATTGTGTTGGTTGTAATCCTAAGTCTATGGGAGTTGAATGATTAAAAAAAAAAAGAATGTTATAATATTTTGTGTTTCTTTGCAGGAATCATTTTTGTTTTATTTCTGTTGATTGTGGTGTTTTGATTGTAAAATAAAATATTATTTAAACTAGAAGTCAAAATATTCAAAGTAACACAAAGGTTTCGTCCAATAAAAAATCTTAATAATGTATATTTTTCTAAAAAGTTTTTTATCTGCGTTATGATATATTTTTTTATTACTTATTTATAAATTTTAATTTATAACTAAATAATTTGTTTTGTTTTCTATAAAGTTGAAACCTCGATTATCAAACCAATCCAACTGAATTATAATTAGGGATGTAAATGAGTCGAGCTGCCCGAGCTCGGATCGATAATTGCACGAAACGAGCCGAGCATTAACGAGTTTGAGCCCAAGCTCGAGCCTAGAATAAAACTAAGTTAGTTAACGAGCCCAATCTTGAGCCTTCAGATAAGAGCTCGTTTAAGCTCGCGAGCCTTAACGAGCTTTTGTATAATATAAATTCTATAATTTTATTTTATATATTATTATTAATTAATAATTACCATATTAAAGTTACATAAGCTTAAATATAAAGTATGTTTTAAGGTTAATGTGTATTTTTTGTGTGATTTTCAACTTCATAAATCGAGCTCCTTAATGAACATTAACTTTGTTACTAACGAGCCGATCTCGAGCTGAACTAAGCTCATTTAGGCTTCACAAATAAACGAGCCTTAACGAGTCGGTCTCGAACTTTTCATATGCTACACGAGTCGATCCCGAGCTTCACACTCCATGCTCGAAATGGGCTCAAGCCCGAGCTCGAGCTTCCATAACTTCAAACGAGCCTGACTCGATTAATGCCAAGTTCGGCTCGGCTCGGCTCGTTTACATCCCTAATTATAATTTGGTTGGAATTGAATTTAAATTTAGTTTGAACAATTAAGATCATACTTTACAAAACCAAAATCAATTTTGATTACTTGATTGGTTGAAATAACACATTCCAGAAACCTGGACACTCCAATGACAAAAAGCTGTACAATAAATCTTATAAGTAATAATAACAAGCTTTGTAAAAAAACTACCATTCAAGATACTATAAGTGTGTTTACCAAGATTAAAACCTTGTTACTACGTAACAAACCGGAAGAATCACAAAAATATCTTCCGAGATGCCTCCGTATCAATATCTAATCAACTTTTGAGATTGGTTTTAAAATAACTAAACTTAGACATCAATCTCTCGAACTTTTGAGACAATTCTCAAAGTAACTAAATTATCCAAAATGCCACGTCGTTGACATGAGTTTCGAATTTTGAATAACTTATTTTACCTTTTAATTTATTTTTACGAGTTTATTTACCAAAATGTTTAATTTTAAAAACCAAAATAAGTCTTTAAATTTACAAATAAAAGGAATCTATTAATATAATTAATGAGTTTTATACCGAAAAGTCTTATTATTTTGATTTTTTTTTGATAAAGTCATAAATCTTTTTTTTAAATAGAAAAGTCACGATTATTTAACATTTTGCCAAAATTAACGAAAAAAATCATTTTTTTATGTTAACATGAAATGACATACTATGTGATTTTTCTAAAATAATGGGATATTCCTGTTAAAAAAAAATTTAATACTTTATCAAAAACTTCCCCAAAATAATTATACTTTTCTGCATAAAACCCTATAATTAATACAAACAAACTAATTACTCATCAATCTTTTTGAAAAGATACTTTCAAAATTCATGAGAGTTTTGAGTTTTCCCCATCAATCCATATATCTTGTTTTACAAGAATTTTCGTCTAAAAAGTAGAGAATTGTGGCGCCTTACATTCCTCGTCAAATGTGGCCTTTCTTAGGCTATCCGAAATAGGGGTAGAAGAAGACGTGTGATGCTGACATGGACAACCAAGTCACGCGTAAACACCGCCTCCGTATCTGGTGGCTTAGCTGTGACGGTGATGGGAAGACACTCGAAGACAGCCAATAAGAAGGAGGGCAGCAACAATGGTCAAAATCTTCACCGTTCCTTTGTTCCTTTTTTTTATTTTTTACCGTTGGACCCCAAAAACAAAAAAAAAAAAAAATCTTTTTCAATTTAAAAACCATATACTACAACTATAAATACCACTTATTTTACATACATTTTACACTACAAAAACATACAATCTCTTCCCATATTCTTTATTTTCTTCAATCTATGGATCCAAATCAAAATACCTCACCCACTCCAAACACTTCAAACACTCCAAATGATCTATTTGCAAATCTTAGTTACATACAATTGATAACATCTTCAATCCAACAACCACCTTTATTCACCAATCTTTCATACCACACAAACTACTGCCAACAACAACGACCATCACACTTCAATCAACCCCAATTTCAAACCTTTCAATAACAACCTTCTCCACAATTTCAACCCCAATCTTCTCAACCTCAACAATTTCACATACAACCTTCACAAATATCTCAAGTCCTATTATCTCAATCACAACCTATAAACTTTGACCACGACGACGACGCACGGGTCCAAAAAACACAACAACCAACTCGAAAAAGGAAAAAAAAAAGGGAAAAGAACCATAAAAGAGAGAGAGAGAACTACGCAATGGACCGAAGATGAGGAGGAAGCTTTAACGAACACTTTGATTTTTATATCGCAAGACGGTGACACCGGGAGCGCACAATCGGGTCAAAGTTTTTGGAATCGTGTTCTAGACCATTTTCATGCGCTATTAGGAAGGGAAACAGAGTGGACATACGATTCAGTCAATGCAAAATGGCATGACCTACGAGCATCTTCCACGGAATTTAACGACATATTTGACAATTTTAAAAATATGCAAAAAAAAAAAAAGTGATAGCAACGATTTCAATATTTTATCGACAGCATGCTACCAATACAAAATTACCAATAATGGTAAACCATTCGGCAACCAAAAAACGGTTGAAGTTTGTCGAAACGGTCCAAAATGGGTCATTTATCCGGAGACGACGCATTCGAGATCTACCACCGGATCCAACAAAAGGCCAAGAACTTCCGAGTCCGACGTGGGTTTTGGCATCGACCTTAATGATGAGTTCGACGACACCGAGGGGGAGGGTTCACCGGAAGTCCAACTTCATCGACCATCGGGAAGGGACAAATCGAGAAAGGCGGGGTCTTCAAGCGGAAAAAGAGATTTGCGAAGACGTGCTTGCGGAAAAAACAGACAAGACTAAGTTTTCTAGATTTTTTTTTGAATCAACAGATGAAGCTCGTCGCCGAAAAATGACACTTACCAATCTTCAAATTTTAAACACAAAGCTGCAACTGGATCTCGACCCGAAAAATCTAGCCGCGTTTCTAAAAATCCAACAAGTTTGGGAAAAATATGGAAATTAGGTTCTAGTTTTTTAATATTTAAGTTTTATTTTCTATGTTCTTTTAGTAATTTAGGTTTAATTTTCTTTGTTTTTCTTTATGTATTTTTAGTAATTTTGGTTTTAAATTTTTATGTTTTTTAATTAATGTAATGTATTTTTAATTATTGTAGAATATTTATTTATGTTTTAAATTATGTTTTTATTTAATTTAATGTCAAAAAAATAAAAAATATAAAAATATAAATATTGTGGAGTGGTAACCATTTTCAAGGGCTAGTGGTTTGATGGTGAGCTTGTAGTGGAGATAACATGTCACTAAGTTGGCAATACTTTGTGAGTGGGTTGAGTATCACCACTCCTTATAGCTGTACCCTGGGCCGGCCCCGAGAATTTGGAGGCTTTGTGCAAATTAATAATAAAAGGCATGGTAAATTCTAAAAATATAAACAATAAAATTAAAATTTTTCGTCTAATCTCGTAATATCATGGCCCGAATGCGTATGACAAGATATGATTTTTATGCCCTTATGTTTGTACTATATATATAAAAACTTTTATAGAGGAAAAAATACAGTAAATTTTATAGTTAAACAAAATCAATATTAATACAAACCAAAACCTACAAAAATCACAACAATAGCTTCATGCATTTTCTTGAAACAAATACATCTTTTATTTTATAATAATCAAGATTTTGTAAAAATCGACTTAAATTGCTTTAAATTGATAATCCATTCATTCTTTCTTGAGTCATGGTACTTTAAAGATATGATATCAAGAGCTTCAACTTTGACAAACTTCTTTCCACAGTAACAACCGTAACCGATATCGCCGACAAATTTTTTTTTTATGCAACTATCACAATAGGAAACATATCCATTGTTCTTGCAAACTCCAATATTTGGATATTTGTCGAAAGACTTGCAACTTCATTTGCTTTATCAGATAAAAAATTTCTACAAAATTAATAACTCAAAAATTATATCATTTCCATTAGTATAACCTAACAATTTGATTTCTAACAAAATATTAAAGACCCTTCTTTTAATATTAGCAATTTATTTGTTTTTTTTTTTCATTTTCTATTTATAACACCCAATGGTTGTTGTCGGGGATATAACCTTACCAATAAACCAAACTTAATGTTTATTTTTTATTTTAAAAAAGCAAGTAATATGGAAAAAAATTGGAATAATGAATCATAAATCATATTTATTTTTTTAAATAGCACCATTTCAAGAAAATTATTGTAACATTCGAGCTCCGATATGTTTCTTTTTAACCCTTAATGCTTAATTCATTACATTTTTGTCCCTAGCTAGTACGCAAGCTGTACTCTATGAGTACGCTTAGCGTATAAGATATCATAAAAATATTAGGCAAACCTTCACACACAATTCCTGACCACTAGGCCCAAACATCTAAGATACACATACATCTTGCATCTACTCTCTCAAGAGTGGCTAATCATCCCCCACGCTGACCTGATATAAATTGTTGTAACGCCCCATTTCTGGTATGTGATTTAAATAAAGTAATTTTCATTTCTTAAGGGGTACTCGACGAGTCAGTAGCCCGAATCGTCGAGTAGAGGCGGGTTTTGCACGTGATTTAAGTTGGCGACTCGACGAGTCCATATTCCCGGACTCGGCGAGTCTGCCAGTTTGGATGAAACCCTAATTTCAAGGGTTTGCACCCTATTTAAACATCTTATGTGCCCCAAGACCAGCCTCCCTCACCCACAAAGAG